AGAAGATCCTGGCTCAACTCCCCGACAACATGATAGAGAGGCTTGCTCATATATGCAATGCCTACCTTGCCTCTGGATACTTCTCTAAGATGTTCAAAATCGTCGTTATCCACCTCATAACAAAAGCAGGGAAGCCAGCAAAAAACAGTTGAAAACTTTCGACCAGTATCGCTACATGGGATACCAGCCAAAATCCTAAAAAAATAGTAAATAAGGGGTTGCGGATGAATCTGGAGGACGAAGACGTGCATAATCCCCGCCAGTTCGGCTTCCGCCAGTACCGAGGCACATCCACCGCCATAGCACAGGCCTACGAGCAGACCGCCTGTAGTGCAACGTAGTGCTCAGGGACGTCAGCAAGGCGTTTGACAAAGTTTGGCACGCGGGGCTGCAGTATAAGATCATACAACTGGGGCTACCCGAAAACCTGACCTGCCAGCTGTGCAACTTAATCACGGACTGCAGAGCCAAAATGCAAGAACAGTGTGGAGAAGAATCGTCTCTCTCGAGCAGCGTGCCTCAGGGCTCTTGTCTCTCACCAATCCTTTACACGCTCTACACGGCTGAACTGCCACCCCGAATCGTCGACAGCGAATACACCATGTATGCCGACGATGTAACACAGATCGTCACCTGCTCATGAAGGTCCACGGCAAGGATGGCGCGACTCACTGCTCGGACAATAGAGGATATCTCGGAGTATGAAAATAAATGGAAAATTAAAACAAACAAAACGAAATTCGAGGTCATACCCATAACCAAATTGAATCCAGCGCCACTGATGATCGGCAACGAAGAGATGGAGTACTCTAAACAAGGCAGGTTGCTCGGCTTCATCATCATCTTGGGCGGGCATCGTTTCCTATGTGAAGGACAAACTAAAGAAAACCAAAGTCGCCGCTGCCAAATTAAAACGTTTTAAACTGATGCCTGAGAACATACAAGTCCATCTGTACAAGGCGCTGGTGAGGCCTGTGTTGGAGTACCCACACGTACCACTCGTCACACTCGGAAAGACCAGAATAAAACAACTACAGAGCTTCCAAAACAAGTGTCTGAGATCAGCCAGTGGCCAAGCGGCACCCTTCCAGGAGACAGTGGAAACAATCCACCTGAGAAATAAAACAGAGGCCCTCAACGTCAGGTTCCATCGCCTTGGGAAGAAGGTCTGGGACAAGCTCCTAGACGACCCTCACAGCCCAGACCACCTACGCGGGGAAGTCATCGACGGAGGGCGACCCCACGCCTGGTGGCCCCGGAGTCTGCCCACACTACAACAACCCAACCCGCGACCCATCTATGTCCGCCACAGCGATCCACCTTAGATTAAAACTTAGGTGTTATAAGATCACATTTAACAAGTCACAATCTAGTGAGTCCATAACGTAATACAGTAATTGTAATTGTAAAATCAAGCTAGTCATTGTCAACCAAAGTAACCATTGTGCAACCTCATCCTAAATCCTAGGTTAGCTTAGTTAGCCAACAAACTCTGTAATATGTAAAACAAGGGGTGTCGTCCCCCTTTGTTTAACTCATTAAACTTCTCTTCCAACATTTCCCCCCACGACTATCTGTCGCGAATTCTCTATTATTCATGTCTGGCTGTGCCTTGAACCCCAGCATGCCTTCCATCCTTTCCCCACCTTAAAAAAAAAAAAAAAGACAGCGAGACAGGCCAGCAACCACAAGATCACATATGTTGTACTGGTTGGTGAAGGTGTGGCTCAACTCCAATCTTCCCAATAATTGAAATATGGTGTGCTGCACATAGGTCGACCTTGGCTTTTAGTGAGATTTCCAAAGCAGTGAGTTTTTCTATCAGTCACGTGGCGGGCTCCTGTGAAGTACCTTTAACAGTCGGAGTACACAATTACCACAAGGCACCAAGCCAGTCTGACAGTTCTAACAAAATTAAAGACACTGAGTTGTGTCTCTGATGTTATGACTCCTACAGTACTCTTGTCTTGTACTCCACATTCCAGAAAGCTGTACAGGATAATCAAGTTAACTATTTCGATTAAGATAACAAAGTGCTGTATCTCATAAAACAAACTCATTCCATAAAGAAAACTGAATTGCATGGTGGGTGGAAATGTAAATTCAAGGAAAACTATATTGAAAAAATTATGTCACTTTCTTTGGTGTCCATATGGTAGAGCCAAGCCGCATCTATCACACTCACATCACTGTCAAGTGAAGTTCTCTTCCATGCGCTATGGAGTTATAGAATTCCCTTTGAAATTTCTGAGTGAAATATATAGTTTGGATTAAAAAAAATAGTCTTTAAAAAACTTGGATGTAACTGATGATGACTTAAAAACTGTCTTAAACTTATCCGATTGGGGTAACGTCACTAGTGGAGTACCCCAAGGTTCAGTAATTGGACCATTACTATTTATTATATACATAAACGAAATAGATATCGGCGTAGACAGGAACATAAGTAAATTTGCTGATGACACTAAAATAAGGCGTGTAATTAAATCGGACGAGGACTCCGCAAAGCTACAGGAAGATCTAAACAAATTTTTCGAATGTTCTGAAAAATGGCAGAGGAAATTTAATGTGGACAAATGTAAAGTACTTAGTGTAGGAGATGTAAACAGAGAAACCAGATATCAGATGAACAACGTTGTTATAGAGAAATCTGACTGTGAGAAAGATTTAGGAGTAAAGATTAAAAATCTTAAACTACGACAACAATGTGTATTTCCTCGAAATAAAGCTAACAAAGTACTTGGGTTCGTACAAAGAAGTGTTAGTTACAAGACTAACGAGGTTATCCTAAAACTGTATCTTGTGTTTGTGAGACCCCACTTAGATTATGTGGTTCAGTTTTGGTGACTGTACTACAAAATTCAGAGGAGAATGGCAAGACTAATCCCGGGCATTAGGAACCCTGAGTACAGAGACAGGTTAAAGCATCTTAATTTGCACTCCCTGAGAGTCGTAGAGTGAGGGGCGATATGATCAAGGTGTATAAATGGAAGTCAGGGCTAAACAAAAGTGATATAACATACAGTAGGTACTCAAACTATCCAACCCGAAGCGAACTCGTAGCAATGGTTTTAAATTACACAACTTTAGATTTAGGCGCTAGATAAGTAGACACTGATTTGAAAATAGAGTAGTGGATGAGTGGAACAAGTTACCAAACATCACCGTGAACTGGAATACGCTGGATAGCTTCAAACATAGGTTGGATGGATATATGAGCGATAAGGGTTGGGTGTAAACGGGACTGCCCAGTTTGGGCCAATAGGCCCGCTGCAGTTTCCTGCACTCTTCTGTTCTCATATGTGCTTATATCAGATCTGGATCTTGCCTCATTTGCTTGTGGGGCTTTGGGTTCATTAATAATAAAAGTTATTATTCAATCAGGAAACTGTGCCAGAAGTTAGAGAAGAGGATTGGCACGAACTGTAGCATCTAGACCACATTCAGCTGATGCTGAACTGCTGTTAAAATTCTACAATGTCGTCAAAACAGATGATTGAGGTTGTCTGAAAATTTCCTACGTACCGTCGAATTACAGCAGTATTGAACTGGATGAAAGACAAAAATCACCGTGAGGAAACAACCAGACAAAAGCCTTCAGCAACGATGGTTTTCATCGACGTATTGAGAAGCACCCGAAGAAAGTAAAATAAAGAAATTTACACACACACACACACACACACACACACATTGTTTATATTATTAGTTTATGAACTAAATATATCCTCTTGTGGAAAATATAATTCTGATGTACCGCACTTGTTGATGGACATTACAGAGAGGAGTAGAGCGACTTATCTACTTTCAAGTTCATAAATATGTTGAAAATGGTGTCTGACGTGACCACTGTACAGGAGAGTTTACTGGTCTGTATTATGACTGAATAAGATCTACAGTAAATGGGTTCGTTGTAGCCAAAGTATGACCGCAGTATCAATAGCAGTAGGAAATGTTTTTACCAATTAAGACTTCGAGGCCGTGGGTAAAATTGACACTGGTGCTAAAGAGAACACCTTTCTGACAGTCGTTGACGTTATAATGTTATTACTGCCTTTCAACAACTAACGTCTTTAAGTTCGTAACAAGGTTGGCAATTACACTAGTCCTTCAACAATTAAAAATTATGAAAGGTAGAACTTTCTGCAGAATTGTTGTGTGGTCCGATGTGTTTTATTAAAGCTGTCATGTGTTGATAAACTAAATTGTCTAGAATTATTAAACTCGAAGAAATTATTATAGTTCTCGATTTTCTCGTTATTAAGACTTAACAGACGCGGGGTGCACATATGCAGAGGATGTGAGGAACATACGTGGGAGATGGCAGCTGTGTGTAGGAGGTCAAGTATTTACATAAGCCAGCGTGGGGCGCCGCTGACGCAGTAACTTCATTAATCTAAGCTGCTTCATATGTAGATGTTGTTGGCGAGCAGGGGCAGGTTGGGCCAGAAACAGTTTTAGTGGTTATTCTTGTAGCACTGAAGATAATGCTCTCATCTCACGCTCTCCTATCTAATGTTTTATGTATGTATAAGAGTAAAGTTGATGGCAATGATACTCCATTAACTATACCTTGAAACAGCCTTTCTGAAATGCTAAATTATCTGTGACAACTAATCAACAGATTTTACTCCAAAAGCAATTAATTTCTCAGCAGATATAAGTAATATTGATAAATTTTTTTGTTATTTATGAAGCAGTTTGTCTAATTTTAGCGTAACCGTGACAAATTCAGTGCTCTTTCTTCTTACTTTTTCAATGAATATAATCAGAACTTTTGGTAGATTTGCCCAGTTCAAATAATGATATCCTATACGCTTCAATTTGTCTTTTACCTTAGTAAGTGTATTATCCTTGTCTACATTCTGTCTTCTTGAGCTGTTGAAGATGCTGCTTACCATTCTGATTTTTATTGATGTTAGACCAAGTAAGGAAAATATTGATGTTAAGAGAAATGTAATTGATGTTAAGAGAAATGTAACACCTGTCTTTTTTATCCCCAGCTTCCTTCTTCGGTGCCTCCTACGTGGCGGTACCCCTACAGGAGGCCAGGAGCTCAACAGAGATCAGTCTACGCCTTAAAACACACCGAGCTGATGCACTCCTGCTTCTGGCTGCGGGCAACACCGATTACTGTCTGGTGGTGCTGGAAGGAGGAGCTCTTAGGGTAAGTATCTGAAGAAGTTACTACCGTGCCTGCAGGGAGCCAACCTCCTTAATATATGTGGAAAGGGTTGGCATCTATAACTAACGAGTATAGGATGACTTTCCATAGTGTGCGTGTAGGGGATGAGCCTCTATGCTTCTCGTGTAGGGAGTGTACGTACATATAGTTTCGTGGAGAGAGTGTACCCAGGGGCGGATCCAGGTACCAATCGGTGGTGGGGAGGGGGGCAAACTTAACTTAGCAGTAGGTAGGTAGGTAGTTTTGGGGATTACTGGCCACTTTGCCGTTAGGCTATTTCGACCGAAGCTGTTTTTTTTCATGAGTCGTTTTCTTTGGACTTCTTCCTTTTGTTCTCTTTGCTTTTCAATTTCCATTCTTCTTCTTGGTCTTGTTCTGGTATTTTTCGTAAAATTCTAAAAACGGTGATGATTTTAATGTTACTAAATCCTTTTCTTCTGTCTTCTTTAATTCTGGTTTCTTTTCTGTGGTCTTCTTGGGGTCTTGATTTTTCTTTTCCGTGGTCTTGTTGGGGGTCTTGATTGTTCTTTTCTTCGGTTTTCACTACAAGGAGAGCCTTCTTGTAGCTCATTTTTTTCTTGCTTCGCAGCTTAGCCACCCTACACTCCTCCCTCCACTTGGGTCACTCCCGCTCGGAGGAGGAGTGAGTGCCACCACAAGCTGCGCATTTCTTGGCTGCCCCCGAGCAGTTGGTGTGCTGGTGCCCGGGTGTCTCGCAACTGCAACAGACCTCCCGAGCACGACACATCCCCGCCAGATGGCCATACCTCTGGCATTTGTAACACCTTGTTGATCTTCTTTCATACGGTCTTACTGGGATGCTCTCCCATCCCAGTAATACGGTGCTTGGTAGATTCTTGGGGTAACCAACCAGTGCAGTTGCACTGGTCAGCTTCCGTACTATTGAGAGCTGGTCTCCGATCAGCTCGGCCAGTTCTTCTTTTTCAAGGTGTTCTATCTCGGTGTGGGAGATGACTCCCAACACCAAGTTGTCCTCGGTGCGAGCTTCCACTAGTATCTGGATCCCGTTTATTTCTGTTATGTTAGCTATTTGCTGGGCCTGTCCCTATTCTGCGAAGGTGACGATAAGGCCACCACTCACTGGTCTGCGGACGACCCTTGTCACCCCCCTGATTCCTAAGGAATCAAAAAGCTTCCTTAGGACAAGGAGGTTTAGTTGCTTGCGCGAAGGGCATGTGACTGGGTACAGTCTTACGACCTTCGCCTGGTCACAGGTCAGCATCGTCAGGTTCACGTAGTACCTCGGGAGCAGAGAAGATCTTGCCTCGCCGAGGTGCAGTTCTCAGTGTAGAAGTAGCACACACCCAAGTTTGGTAGGTGTGAAGAAAGTGGGGGAGGGGGGGAATGAGCACAGAAGGCGCGAGGCAATAACCTAGTTAGTGGGTCTGGGGGGTGAGCGGTAGCTGGGGGAGGCATTTTTTAAATATTTTGAGGCAAATTAGATAAGATTTATGATGATTTATATTGTAAGCCTGTAACCAATAGTAAGCAGGAGATCTAGGGTCCCATGATTCCAATAAGAAGAAAAGTTGATGCTGTGGGATCATGACACTTATCCATAGATGCATCCTATCAATAAGATAATTGAGATAATGTATTATAAGTATTTGTTTATTAACGAGTTCAATATTTCATACCAAATGCCGAAGTCCTATATAAACTCCATTAACACCAATAAATATACCAAACAGTATCATCATAGTGGACCAAGGTACTTGGGTTTCTCCAAGGCGTTTGACTAAGTCCAACATGCACAGCTAGCTTCTTAGGTCCAGGCACATGCATCACTGGTAAAATTTTAAAGTGAGTTAACAGCTTGCTCTTAGACAGACAGCAAAAGGTGGTCATAAACAGAGTACTTTCAGTATGGTGGAATGCCACAAGAATATATCCTTCGACCCACCCTGTTTGTGATCAACCCATCGAGATTTGGGAATTATAAAGCGTACAGTCCCGGTAAGAAGTCCTGCGTCAGGCAGTTTTGGCTAACTCGGTATGAGGCATCTTCGGAGACATGCGCGAACGAACAAGCATGATAGAACTACCGGGCTCATAGTTTAAGCATCACTCTGTGGTTTAAAGGGTGCATTTCATGCCTAGATTGCCATGTTGCCAGCAATGTCAGGAACAACCAATGAATACCATTAATAATTATGTCGACCTAAATTGAATGACGAGAATCAATGTATTTGCTAGCACAGATGAAATGCCTCCTCGCACACACGCCGTGGTACACCGTCTGCTAGACACCTCGATCATGTGAACAATTCATTCTATGTCGTGTCTAGGTACACATCTTTGAACTATACCATCTATCGGTGATATGAGTTGTCTTATGTGAGTGTCAGGAGGATAGGCATAAAAAATACTGTATAAAGAGGTACTTAATTTCAAGTCAGCAGAGAGGGTCACTGGCAGGAGGGAGGTGATCAAGTAAAATTTTCCTCTTTCCTATTTATCATCTTATCATCAGTATCACATATCATTGACAATCTTACTTCCATAAATCAAGAGCCACACTTGAGATATTAACTTTACATATTACACTGTAAAATATATATATATATATATATATATATATATATATATATATATATATATATATATATATATATATATATATATATATATATATATATATATATATATATATATATATATATATATATGTATATATAATGATTTTTTTTTTAGAGGTAACATGTTTTCCTCCTATCCTCATGTGAAACAATTTTATTTCACCAAATATTTAATACTCAATTCAACTACTTAAGGGTGATATAACATAATTTACTCGAACAGGGTTCTATGGTAATTTGAAAGAGAACAGAAAACACGATGTGGACACCCCCGACACACACACACAACTTAAGCGTTACTTTGTTTGGGAGTTTGCTACATGTTCCAACTGGTAAAATTTGTTCGCGTAAATTATGTTATATCGCCCTTAAGAACATAAGAATGGAGGAAACTGCAGCGGGCCTATTGGCCCATACTGGGCAGTCCCGTTTACACCCAACCCCTATTAAGTTGAATTGAGTATTATATATATATATATATATATATATATATATATATATATATATATATATATATATATATATATATATATATATATATATATGCTGATAACCACAAGGAAAAAGAAAACACGAAGTTCCCAAGCGCTTTCGTGTAATTCACACCTTCAGGGGTGAGTACAGACTAAGGAGAAATACATGACAAGGCAAATATATATACAGTCGAGGAAGGTGAGATCAAGTCCACAATAGTCAGGTTATTAGGTAGTGACCCTACTAATCTTCAAAAAGCACCGCAGCAGTCGGTAGTCAGGTCAGAGGGTAATATGACCCAACCTTCTCACCTGGTTACAAATCTTCCTAATTACGAAATTATCCAGTTTGTACATACCATTACTCAAATTCATGTTGACGGATTCGGTATGTTTAATGCAACTGGATTCTATAATGTTCCTATTGTCAATTGAATTACAAGGTAATATTGAGGAGGCATTATCCCAGTCAATATATTTATAACACAAACAGAAGGAAAAAACATATTATCTCCACCAACTCGCCCACACTGTTGAAGTTAACGGTCACGTGGCCGCTCCTGGCTTCTTGATAAACCTGCTGCCGGTCGTAACGGGTGTTATCAGGTCTCCAGCAGGGAAGACTGCCTGGCACAGGCTGGGACTGTACCTTCGAATACACAGACAAGAAATTGCTTCTTCAACTTTGTAAATCTCTTGTACGTTCCAGTCTGGATTTCTGTATACAAGCATGGAAACCTTACCTCCAGAAAGACTTATTATACCTAGAAAAGGTGCAACAGAGTGACTAAGATTATACCGGAACTTTGTTCATCTCGATATCTATGTAGACTTGAGGATTTTAGGACTAGCAATTCTTCAGACAAGACACAATAGGGCAGACTCAAAGACACATCCAAACTCTTGAAAGGGATGAAAAACGTGAACTGGGCCTTTTTTGTGATGTCTTGGAACGTAAGGAAATACTTCTTCACAAAGAAGCTGATAGATCTATGATAACGTCTACCAGCCCAATACAAAACTTTCAAGACCAATGGAATAACCCTACACAGGCCACTGGCCTCCATCCCTCGGTTTGGCCACCTCTGGTTTGGGTGGCCTTTAGGTAAATATAATCATATAATAACATTTACGAAAGAGGAATAGTAATTGATTTTTCCCTACTAGCCTTGGCCTAGACCAGTGTATATATTTCGTATTCATCGGGAAAATGACGGGAACTGAGTTTTACCTTAAATTTTAAATTAACAAATAAAGCATAAGAGAAAATATTCTCTTCATTTTTTTTAGCCACCCATTACCCCCTTTCACAAGGCTGCCTTCAAAATGACCTCCCTCCCATCTGATGCCAAAATAACTACCTCGTTCATCAATTGCGATCATAAAATTGATGGAAGTATATTTAGTTCAAAAAACAAGTTTTCTTTTTCTCTCAACATCAACAACACAAACAACATAATAGTATTCAGTAAGACAAATGAGGCTGCTTCCTGCAGCCAACCGCCTGATCCGGGAATTGGTGAACAGTGGCATCAGATGACACATCCAGTCTGTTCCAGCTCTTTGTTTTTCATATAGAGGAAAAATAATTCTGCTTTCCTTCTGAGTGCTACATGTGTAATGACATAAGACTTGGCAGTACCTAAATAATTTTATTCAAATGATATAAACCGAGAAATCAAGAATATTAATGTGCTGGAATATTATGTTCGTAAAGAGAGTGTACAGTTTCGGAAGTGTGTTCCTACACCCCCAAGTGGTAACCAGTGTCTCCAAACGGCCAACGTGTATGACCTATAGCAAACCTATCCACCAATCACGTCCGTCGTTACACGACCAATACCCGTTCATTCATAAATAGTGATACTACTACTGCGACGCTGCCGTTTGGAGACACGGGTCCCACATG